GGGGCCGTATTGTCGCAGATACAAGATGGGGAGGAAAGGGTTATCGAATATTTTAGTAAATTACATTCCAAACCAGAGAGAAATTACTGTGCCACAAGGAAGGAACTGCTAGCCATTGTCAAAGCCGTCAACCACTTCCACAAGTATCTATACGGACAGGAGTTTCTGATCAGGACCGACCACGCTGCCCTCTCGTGGCTACTACGGATAAAGAATCCCGAGGGCCAAGTAGCGCGTTGGCTGGAAAGACTACAGCAGTACCACTTTAGGATCAAACACCGAGCGGGTCGACTTCACAACAACGCTGACGCTTTGTCAAGACGTCCGTGTGGAGAGTGCAAGCACTGCGACAGGATCGACGCGGAAGAAGGGAACCTGCCCGTTCGTCGGACGATTTTTGAGCAAGATGAAGAATGGACAACGGCGCGGTTAAAGCGTGAGCAAGAAGCAGACGACATAATCGGACCAATACTAAAGTGGAAGGAGGAAGGAGTCAAACGACCCGGCTGGGCAGAATTGTCCGACCAATCCCCCAGTTTGAAGGCGTTATGGGCCCAATGGGATTCCCTGGTCATGGAAAATGGGCTCTTGAAGCGAAAGTGGGAGAGTCCTGATGGGCGTACCTCTAAGACGATGCTGGTACTCCCCAAGGTAAAGGTTTCCAAGGTCTTAGAGGAAGTTCATGCCGGAACATCTGGAGCCCACTTCGGAGTGAACAAAACTTTGTCGAAAATCCGGGAGAGGTTTTATTGGGTAGGTTATCGTGACGATGTCGAAAGTTGGTGTCGCAAGTGTACGACGTGTGCGGCCAGCCAAGGTCCTCATACCAGGGCGAGGGGAAAGATGAAGAAATATAATGTTGGGGCACCTTTCGAAAGAATCGCCATCGATGTGGCCGGTCCGTTCCCTGTAACAAACGACGGCAACAAGTTTATCCTGGTGGCTAGCGACTACTTCAGCAAGTGGCCAGATGCCTATGCCATTCCAAATCAGGAAGCCGTCACGGTCGCGAAAGTACTGGTTGACAATTGGATCAGTAGGTTTGGCGTCCCCTTGGAACTTCACTCAGACCAGGGACGCAATTTCGAATCCAACGTCTTCCAAAGAGTGATGCAGCTACTGGGAATACGTAAGACAAGGACAACGCCACTACACCCACAGTCCGACGGCATGGTGGAAAGGTTCAATCGGACTATGGAGCAACACCTTTCGAAAGTGGTAGAAGAGCACCAAAGGGATTGGGACCAGCACCTTCCACTATTCCTGCTGGCCTACCGCGCAGCTATCCACGACACCACGGGCCAAACACCTGCTCACGTTGTATTTGGGAAGGAACTGCGGCTGCCCTGTGACCTAGTCTTTGGATTGCCATCCGAAGAACCAATGGAAGTACGTGACTACGTGGACGAACTGAAAGAGAAGTTGGTCAACGTGCATGAACTAGTGAGGGGCCGGATCAAGATTGCCAGTGACCGAATGAAGACCCGTTATGATGTGAAGGCCAACTGTGGCGGATTCCAGGAAGATGACTTAGTGTGGCTGTATAACCCCCGACGGAAGAAGGGACGTTGCCCAAAACTGGCTCCTGACTGGGAAGGTCCATACACTATCGTCACTAGAATAAATGACGTAGTTTATCGGATCCAACGTGGACCAAAGACGAAGATGAAGATCGTTCATCTCGATCGACTAAAACGGTACGAAGGAAACAACGAAGACGCTTCCGATCGGGACGATCGGATTTGAAGAGGGGGGCAGTGTTACGAAATACACCCTTACGCCGCCCCAGTACGACGCCTATGGCGGTCGAGAGCCTTCTGGACGTACGCACGGCGCTGATGGGTGAATCATCGCTGTTGACGGCCGAGAGGCGGGCGCATAAAGACAGGTCTGGAGCGTCTCGAAGCGGCGTCCAGGGGAGTCTCGAAGCGGAGTCGCGATGGATGTTCGTGAAGGATCTCGATCAGAGACTATGGGTTTAAATGGAGGCGACCGTAGGTAATGGATTCATTCATCCAGTGAAGACAGTCGAGAGCGCCGGAATAATTTCTGTACATATTCGTCGCAATAGATAGTGTTGTAATTCGACCTGAAGAAATAAATTTTTTTTTTGAGTTTTACCAACACCCGATTTATTATTCGTCCGTCAATCGTAACACTATATTACTTCAAATAAAAATACTCGATGCCCTTTTTAATTTTTCAAACACATGACCACAGATTTCTGATCCTGAAATGTTATATTATGTTGATATAGTCCAAAAGAAAAATATATTTGTAATCAAACTATCGCCGCGACAGCACTGAATCGAGCGTATGAAACACAATTCCGCGCGTTGTTGATAAAGAATCGTTTAGCTTAATTTGTACAACACAAGTACCCACCATTCAGTCAATTCTACTTTTTTCCCTTTAACTGGGAGGCCCAGACATGCAAGCACCTTTTCAATTGTGTAACACTATAGGCCTGAATTACTTTATTTTTTTACAAACTGCTCTCCGGGAACATCAATTTCAATTAAAACAATTCACATGCGTTTCCCTGAAGACGCCATCTCCGTTCTGTTATGGACTGTAGTCATGTCAACAAATGGTCTGCGCAAGCGTACAATGTTCGTGAGAAGGTCTTGGCAGAAACATAACCTTACATTTTTTAAAGCAGTGAGTGCCACATATCCGACCATAGGTATGGTCGACGGAAACTGCGTGTATAACTTTTAGATTTTAAAACAAAGTACTGCATTGGTTGGATATGTGACAGAAACTGTTTGTTTAAAATGAAAGGTTATGTTTCTGCCATGGATGGTAAAAGAATAAACATGCCGTTTGTGCCAAATGAAATACCTACTCTGAGTGATTTTTCATATGAAGAATACCCGTACAATAAAAAACATAACCAACTTTTTCGAAAAATTATAAAATTTGATTTTGCGAATTTTATTAATTTTTTTTTTTGAGAGCCCCTACAAGTTAATATAAAATATGTATGTAATGATAAAAGTAAATGTTCGAATGAGTTTTCCTTTTACACAATTTTGTAATGACGTCATCAACATTTTTTTCAAGGACACGTATATCAAGTTGGATAAGTGCAGTGTAACACTAATGATAAGAGTATTATGAGTCACCTGTATGTACCTACCTATAAACAATTCAAAAACTTTCAATGCAGTGATAAATCATTATATTTTGCACATTTTAGATAGGATTTATTTGTCAAAATTTTGAGATGACGTCATCAATTTTTCTTGGGGGAGGGGACATATATATTTTCATTAAAAATTTACCATGCTTACGATAACTTTAAAACATCTGCAATATTTCAAAGAATTTGGATTTGCAATTTCAATTGCAAAAAATTAAATTGCAAAATGTTGTTAAACAATTTTCACGGACTCATAAACTATACGTGTAAGGAGTACATTATTTTATAAAATTTAAAATCCATTTACTATGTATAATTTTGAGGTGACATCATCACATTGTTGGTGGGATGACTTATGACTAGACAAAGTTTGGTTAGCGTTGGAGGGAAGGACGGACATGAACAGTTAAGTTTTCATTAATTATTTACTATGCTTTTGATAAGCTTAAGTTAGGTTAAATTATAAAATGTTATCAAAAATTTTATTTTTTTTCCAAAAATTTGCATGTCTAATTGTCTATGGTAAAAATTCAACACGGATTCATAAACCTCAAGTGCAGGAGGATACTGTTTTTTGTAAAATTTGTAGATGACGTTATCCCATTATTATCGCATTGTTAGTGGAGATGACTAGACACATTTTGACACATTTTGGTTAGTTCATCTAAGGATATCTCTCTATATATAAAATTTGACACGACAGTAGACAAGTAGTTTCAAAGATTATCTATCTATTAAACATCAACACAAACGACAAACGACAAAATATATAGCTTGTTCCATTAAAAAAAAAGGGGTTGCATGATGCGCCTGAAAAACAGAATACTCGATATGGTTGAAAAAATAATTTTAATTCATGCTGTTCAAAGAGGCGATAACTTGTAGCTTTGGTTATCTTTCTGTCCGTATAATTAATGAGATATGCAGGAAGGTCCGCTTAGTGGCTCACCCTGTATATTTTCTTCATGTGTATAGTACATTGTAAGGACAATATGTAAGTAAAATTAGTAATTACACAGATATTCTCTTATAAGAGCGTTATTCAGAAGTGTTTATAATTTATTTAATATTTAAGCTCTATATGTAAGTATATAGTTTTCAAATCCGACACAATGCGACGATCCCACGTTTGCGCCACTACTGTTTGTAAGTCTACATTTAAAGCTAAGGCTGAATTTGCATCAAACCGACAAAATGGAAACAAACTAGCAGTTTAAGTCTACGCTGTCAGAAAACAGAAATTCGCACATGTGTGTTTCGGTTTAAATCTTATTCGCAATTTACAAGGAAAACAATTTTTTAGAAGCAATTTCAACGTGCATTTTTCTCCTTGTAAAAAAATAGTTCTGCAAGTCAAACGTGTTTAATGTGTCTTAGTTTTGGTTAATTGTTTGTCATTTTTTGAGATTCTAGTAGGTATTAAGATCAATAAATACCATTATTCATCTTTTCCTGCCATTATAGGTACTATTGTTAACTACAAGTTTAATTGATCGAAGTGAATAGTAAATAAATTATCACAATAGATTTTATTTAGTATTATGAAAAAACCGGAAATATTAAAACCGATACACTTACCTTACAATAAGAGGAGTCGCATTAAATCAATCTAATCTATTTATAACTTATAGTTTATCGACTTACTCCTTGAACGACTAAACTGTGTGAACACTAGGTATCACTAAAATGTGAATATAAACAAACATGTTTGTTAAGCTAAACTAATCGTACCTAGTTACACGAAACTAAATTATTAAAATCTTACTTTATGACAAAAGTAGCGAATTAGGCACAGCATTTATAGATTTATTTTATAAAATAAACCACTAAAAGTTTTTGCTAAATTTTTTATTCGTTAAGGTTGATTTATAAAATATATTACACAAGTTATCTACACTGTACAGGAAATTTTATCTTACTAAAAAATCAATAAATAAGTCGACACACAAAGGAATAAAAACTATATAGCACCAGTCGGGACTACGAATGTACACAAGGTATTTTAATTTACATATAAATACAAACGTAACCCTAATATCGAGGGTTTCGAGAGAGAGTGAAACTAGTGAAACTAACAACAACAGCAAATTAAAACATCGTATTAATGAAGAGAAAAGAAACATCAAAAATGCTTATTACTACTTTCATCACAGACCTGTCGCGGCGTAATTCAATTGTCCCATTCGGCATTCACTGCCGCTACGTTATATTTCCAGCAAAGCGATTTTCCAAGATCGGAAAACTATTGCATTTGAAACATGTCGCTTTACTAATATTACATCAATAGAAAAACAGAGAAATCACCCACAAAACGATGATATTTATGACCTGGCCGAACGGACTAGCAAACACATGACTCAATTGTCAATAAATTAATGTCAATAAATAACTACAACAGTCGTTGCTATCACCACGTATCTTCTTAGGAAATGTAAAAAAAGAGTCAGTCGATTGGTCACTAATTTAAATTACTAAGTCAGTGGTAGAACCAAATCAGCGAAGCACAAATCACTAACACAGTTTGCAATGTATTGTAACTACCGGAGTTCACTCTACTTAATCCTAGAGACTCTTCAGCGCTTGGGCTGCTGCTACTACGTGACACTTTGCTACGAACAATCCCTTCAATATGGTTACCTTCTAATTCCATGATTGGTGTTCCCCCTGGCCACCCCTCCGTACTATATCTTTTGTAATTGTTACACTGGTCTACGTTGCTTCGAATGTACGCTGCTGTTACGTTTGGATAATGCAGCTCCTTGTCAGTGCCCTGGAAAAGATTAGAGATGTTTAAGAAAAATGTGCTATGTTACTAACTACGTTTACAGTACTAAGGTTGTAATGAATTGATCTAAGGCATTGTTCTTCTTGGTTTGTGTCTATTTAACGGTGTGATTAACAAAAACAGTATTAACATCATAAGTATAAAAAAGTGCTAATAGCCTGGGTCTCTTTTTTCATTCTTGTATTGTACAAGCCAAAAATTGATAATGAACATGAATAGTTTGTATATAGAGGTATAGCTTGCCCAGAGGTATTTCGTTTTTATGATTCTGACGTTCGCATGGGTAGCCGTAAATATAAATAAGATTAAATAGTAAAATAGGTTTAGATAATAAAATAACGAGGACGGTCCTGTACTATTGACGGTAGGTAAACAGATTTTAAGTAACGGGGGGTTGTTTGGGATGGGATAACCTAAATACTAATAAAGCAATAAACACAAAATATAGTTGGTTGTTTTCACTACCTATGTACCCATTTTAAACCAAACGGCATTGCCTCTGATCCTTCGTTGTGGACCGACCGTTCCCGATGCAGTACGGAAAGGCCTCTTGCGTGGAGCTCTTTTACGGACGTTTCTTTATCATTGGTTCAACGAGGCATGCTCCCTCCTTTCATTCTACTTCCATGGTTTGTACATGTATGTGTGATAGAAACAAATGAGCATTGTGCTCCCTTTCCATATACATATATACTGAGTGACAAAAGTAAAAGAACACCATGAATGAATGATAATTTTGTAATGAAATTTTATATATAGGCTAAAGGTAATTAAAATAAGATTAGAATTTGAATGGCATCGGTTCAACAGTTTAATTTTCTTTTTTCTTGTGTGCTGAAGACAAACTTATCATGGTAGTTATGTATGGCTTATTTGATCATTTCCGGCACATCATTGTGTTTGACGTGTTTGTCACAAGGCCTAGAGTGAGTCGCCGTCTAAATTTTAACCAAGTCTGAGACACTGAGAGAGTTCGAATAGTGGGTCTTTGTGAAGAGGAACTATCGTTTCGCTAAATTGTAGTCCGATTAAATAGAACCTTATCTTCTGTGGCAAAGTGTTACCAGGTTTGATTCCAAGAACGCGCAGTACAACGAGCAAGACATCCAGGGCGTCTCCCATAAGCAAGAGCACGTCAGGAGTGTCATCTAAGACTAGTAACTGTGGGGGGCCATTTTTCGACTACATGTTCGATTATAGACAAATGGTTTGCAGAAGAAGGAATACTGGTAACAACCACGACCATCAACATCCATATAAAGTCTTTCGGACCCATGCCGTACCTGCTACAATTTGGTGTGACCACTCACCGCTACTCACAAACGCCAACACTGAGCGATGTCGGGAAAGGTTAAGCTGTAATGAAGACTGGCTCAGGTCGTCTTTACTGACACATACTGATTTAGTTTGAGCATGAGCGATGGTCGGATAAGAGTAAGGCGAAGGCGTGGAAAACGACGACATCCACAGTTTTTCATGGAGCAGCATGTGCAACGAAATGTTAGGGTTATGGTGCGGAGGACGATTGGATAAGGCAGTCAAGCTAGGAATGTACTCGCGCTGCCTTACTTAGTAATCACTGAACGACTCAAATTGAATTATTTTATCTAATATGACGATTATTGTACGTCAATTTAAACGGAACAAATGCACAAACTTCACAAAATATTTTATTAGGTTATGTTGCTGGTGCTGGTCGAGTCTTTATTACTCAATTATCATTAAAATGCCTGTTCTACTGCGATTAGATGAAAAAGCGAGGGCCCGCTTTTCTTATAAGATTTACCATCAAAACAGCAGGCGCTTTTGAAGAAACCTTTTAATTTAACCATTACAAATAACAAAACTGAACAATTGTTGATGAATGAAGTAATGAAATATTGTACAAATCTGGAGAAGTATTATACTATTTTCAAGAATTGCTCAAAAAGACTGTTCTCAGCAGCTGTACAGTAAGTAAGCCGATCTTCAAAACTCCTACGCGTGTTGATTAGCATTTGAGTTGAAGTCTGAAGACAATATTGCTGGATTGCTTGTTTCAGCGCGTCTCGGTTTGTATAGCTGGTATTGTTCGAATACAGATGGTCGTGAAGAAATCTCAAGAGAAAAAATTCCCAGGGGTTTAGATCCGGCGAATGCACAGGCCAGTACAGGAGCGGTGCAAACTTTCCATTACAACATTGCGGGAAAATACTGATTCAAATACACAACATTTATGCGAGCTGTATGGCTAGAGATTTGGTCCTGCATGTAAAAGACCTGCTGCAGATGCCGCACCCTTCGAGTCCCAGGAAGTATTTGCTGAGCTAGCATATTGTCCTACTTCTGAGCATTCAATCCAGATTCGATGAAAAAGGTGCAATGACATGATGTCCTAGAAGCCCCAGTCACACACTGACAGTTGCACGCCATTGATAACGATGGTCATGGACCACGTGAGGGTTATGTATTGCCCAAATTTGATCCTTCTGACGATTATAACTTCCCTTAAGACCAAATGTACATTCGTCAGTAAAACAAATGTTCCTCAAAAACTCTCCATCAGCCTAGATTCTCTCAAGCGTTCCTTCGTAAAACTCCATACGTGTGAAGTAGTCCTCAGGTTTAAATTTTTTGTCAAGTTGCTTTTTGAAACTCTTCTATCCCATCTGTTTAAGATCCCTAGAAAACGTCGTGCCCACCTGATTTTATTTATTTTTTATCATCTTTGAAAATAAATGTAACTTTGTATTGTGAAATATTATTTTTATTTTTGCTGTTGTTAACACAATAAACAAATAAAGCAGTAATACAAAAGTTTCTGAATCTCAAAACACATTCGTAATAGAGAAAAATATTTTAAAATGTTGATGAGTTCGACATTTCTCTCTCAAAAATTTCTTGTAACGAACATGCTTCCAGGCGGCAAAAATTCCATCCTTGCTTAACGCATGTAAAATCAATTGACTTCCAATCTTTAGTGATTCGCTTTTTCATCTAATCGCAGTTGAACATAGTATAACCTAATAAAATATTTTGTGCAGTTTGTGCATTTATTCAGTATAAATTGACCTACAATTATTGTCATATTGGATAAAATAATTCAATATGAGTCGTTCAGGGATTACTGAGTGAGGCAGCGCGAGTACATTCCTAGCTTGATGGGCTCCCAGGACATGTCACAATGCTGCCGATGGGGTTTTGAGGAAGACCAGCTGCTCAAAGTCTTCATCTCGGGTCGCGCACTATGACGAATGAATGGATCAATTTGTGCATATATTCCGTTTAATTTGTCCTACAGTAATCATCACACTGGACAAAATAATTCAGTTTGAGCTGTTCGTTGATTTCTGAGAATAATTTCTAATTTCACTTTCAAAGACGCGATCGCCGAACTTCGACAGTGCGACGGAACATTTCGCGACAAATCGGATCGGGCGCGAATTTCAAAATACGATTTTTAAAACCTTTTTACAGTAAATGAGCGCGATACAACGATTTGAAAATAATACTGGCCGATAGCCCTCTTCAACCTCCACAAAGGTAGCACTAAATAATAGCTTTAAAGTGATCTGGGGAGATATTATAAAATAAAAACCAATTTGCCATGTTAATTCCCTATGTCCAGACTTGGATGCGGCACCCTGTATGCGTAATTCTTTTTAGAAATCTATTTTTATTAAATGTACACACATAGTTACCTAGTAATTATTGTTGACTTTTGTAATAATTCTATTGTCAATTTTGAGCTTGGAGAAACTTCTAGTCTTTGCGATACGATTTTCACTAATGATGAAAAAGGTTGATATGATCTTAATTTTTGGAAATGCGGAAAAAATGTTGCAGCAGCAAAACGCTGCAAGATATCCCGCTAGGCAACATCCATCCGGCCGAATCTGCAGATGTTTAAAGAAAATTTTAAGACAAAATTGCCTTAAAGAAACAAGAAATAAGATGACGCACCGCTACTGGTGTAGAAAATAAAATTCGCGTAATTGAAACCGTAGAGAATGACCCGCATGAAAGCCAAAGATTTGTCGCACAAGTAGAAATATGCTAATAATTTGCACCCTTACTACGTGACATTAGTTCAAAATCTGAAAGAAGATTTTCACAGAAAAATACAATTTTGTAATTTTATACAACATCAGCTACAGTTGGACAACAATTTTTTATTCAAAGTTTTGTTCAGCGATGGAGCAAGATTTGGCAGTAACAGAGTTAATTGTCATAACTGTCACTATTACTCGCAAAATAACCCCCATTGGATAAATACAGCTCATTTTCAATAGTAATACCATGAGTAGGATGAATATCTGTGATAATTCAGACGATTTATTAGCTAAACGAATTTTGTGTTGCGATGGAAATATCACGAGTTGCGCAGCAACGAGTGGTATTTCCTGAGCGCACCACAAAATGAGTTTGCTAATAAAAGTCTGAATTATAAAAATATTCATCCTACGAATTGTATTTTACAAGACTATTCCATGCAGCTAGTACTAAAGCACAATAATTATAAACAATTTTCTTCTGTATTTTTAATTCACTTTCTACGAAAGAATTATTGGCAAATGAAGCCATTTTTTAATAATGTCAAAAAATTAATTTGTTTACATCATCGTAACTATGGTTTGCTAGGTTGAAAACACCGTTTTTTGACCCAATGGGGATGCCGAGCTACGGTGGGTTGCCGCGAAAAGCCCACGCTACATACCAATCAGATTGGTTCTTAACCGATATGCATGGAATAGTCATGTTTATTCTGTAAACGTGTGGGCTGATAATATTGGAGAATACGTAATTTTTTGAAGAGAACTGAACACATGTATCAACATTTTTTGGAAAATAATAATTTGCCGGGTTATTAGAAAATGTTCCTTTCAATGTCCGATAACAGCTGTGGTTTCAGTGAGACGGAGCACCACCTCACTATCACAGATTCGTTAAAGACTATTTAAAAGCTCGTTTACACTATTCGATTTTCTTATTCGACTTGCAATTCG